GGTGCCTTAATTTTTGTTACCAAAAAATAGTTAAAGGCATTTAAATTTGAAGCGCCGTTTAACTCCTCACTATTTCCCTGTTTGCGGACGGAAAACGTTCCCGAGCCAGGGGGCAGAGTATAGGTTGTGATAGGGTGTGTTTTTGTTTGCTAACTAGTTCGTACAAGAAGGCCGATACAGAGTGCGTGTATATTTTTTAATGAAAAATGATTTGGTCGATTTTGTCTGTTCGTTACAAAAAAAGGCCCCATGACGACCATGGAAGATGACGCCCTTCGCACGTTTTTGAAACGCGATTGTGTCGCGTTCACGCTCGCTAGAAATATGTGCTAAAGAGCACCTTGTAGGTGATGTATGACTTGCTCGAAATGTGTTTCTCTTGTGCGAAAAGCTAGTTAAATGAGCGAAGCAAAAAAAAGAAAAAAAAAAGGAAAAAAAATGACGGTCGTGCGTGTTTGAGGTCTGAATCTATTCTCTCAGACACTTCATTTGACAGACATGTTCGTCGCTGTTAATGTACAACCAACTACGAGATTCCCTGCTTGGAATTTTATCATTACACAAAAAAAATGACAGAAATAAACTGAAGATGATGAACCGTTCGCAGTCAACGCAAATCTCAGTGGTGTTTGTGGATATTGAGGCATCGCGATGCTTGTCAGCCATCCAAAGGGCGACATATTTCTAAACCGCAAATGAGCAATTTAGCCGGGGCCGTACGACGCTGTACTCTGTTTCACCTTGAAGGCTGGTTCACACTGTTGCGACCGACTACGACCAAGTCTGACGGAGCAAGTTTTGAAGCCCCCCCTTACGACCACACCGCGCAGCAGCAATGGCGGCCGTAAGCGGCCTAAAACTTCGTTGCCATAGCAACCCGTAAAAGAGATTAAAGGGACCATGAAATGACCTTTTTACTTTTTCCCGATAACTTTTAGATTAAACCGTCAATGTTCACTGAATGCCGAACAGGCATCCGTTTTCGTCTCGGTTTATTAACTTCTACACAAAAAATTATTGAAATATCGACTTTTTCATTCTCTCCAACTGACCACAAAACAAGCCGTGACGTAAACCGTTTCCGGAACCGGAAGTTCTCTCGGCAATAGGAGAATGGGAGTGTTAGCGGCAACGAGTTGGGGTGCGCCGGTAGGTTTTACCATTTTACTGCGCTGATGTCACCGACGTATTTCCTGAATCGGCGCCTCTCATCGCCGCATCGCAGCTGAGCGAAATTCAATGAGATACTTTGCGCTACAGCGACAGCATGGGACTAGTCCCATACGCCGGTATGCCTCTTGGGAAGTGCAGCGAGTCTTCCGGTGAAGACTCCAGAAGTCAACCACCCTGTCATTGTTGGCAGAAGGGCCGGCCCGTGTCAGTCGTTTGCAAAGCGACGTAGATGGCGTTTTTCGCGGCTTTGGAGATGCAGGAGCGAGCCGACGTTAAAAAAGATACGTTTGAACTACGAGTGTCAGCAAGAGCCACGTAAATACCTGTTTACACTCGGAGCGGACGCGCGCGTTCGATGGAAGTGCTGTATTCGCGCTGTTTGTAAGCGCTTCGGGACCGTTCTTTTACGATTGCAACTCGATACTGACGCGACACTCGGCAAAGAAAGGTTGGACCGGGGTTGTACGTATACCTCCCACGAACTGTTGTAGCTCGACAGTGACGTGCAGTCTGTCAGAATAAAAATGGCATACCAATAACAAAGTGTACATACCGTGTTACGAAGGTAATCCATACGGCGTTTATTTCAGCTCTATATCACACAAAACAAGAAGATAGAATCGACGAGAGTCCCTTTTCGACGAGTGTTCGTCAACACTGCCTCGGAAAACAAGGGGAAGAGATTGACCTCACCCCTTAACGTAAAATTGAGGTCAGCGATCAAACTATAATACGGGAAGGGTCCACAAGGGTAGCGCGGGCATATTCCATTCATCACGCCAGCCGGTCGTAGGCAGACAGACGGTCTTGCGACGAAGCAACGCTGCGCCGAGTCGGAGTGCCTGCTAGGCCTATATTCTGAGAGCTTCGTCGGAGCGGGATTCGCGGCTGTTGTCGCTCTTCTCGGGTGTTTGTGGATCCAGCGTTCTTGTTCGTCGTGGTCTGTTTTAAGTACATTTTTTTTCTTGCTGCTTGAAGTCGGCACGCGCGAGATGAACACGTAGAAAAATAAACGTTCAGTCAGTCAGAGTTTTGAGAGGAAGGAAACCAAAGGAAATGACCGTTCTGAAGTCTGCCCTGCCCTACTGCGCACGCGCAGTAATTGCTTCGTTTACCACACGATAGATGGCGCTTGGCTCTCAGCATTATCAAATTTGGCAATTTTCGCCACACATCTCTAATTATGCTACAAAATGTGGATCTGAATATTATTTAACAAAACTTTTAGGAAACATCCGCCGGCTATTTATTGTTTACGATCGCGGAGCTGGTGAGGTAGGCTCTTACCCAATAGGCGACCTGGATTTGGCTGACGTGCTCCATTTCCGCGGGTGCATCGTAGTGAACAGGCGAAGGAAGGAAGGCGCAAAAGAGTCCAGTTTTCTTTTAAAAGTTCTATAGCAAATAATTTTTTTCGGCTCCCTATTTTTGTGTTTTTGTGTTTCTTTTCACACCTTTTACGACGTGCGGTGGATGAAACTCGATTTTAAAATCATTTCATGGTCCCTTTAACGACGCGAACCGTTGCAGGCGCACACGGTCGGACTCATGCATGTGAGTGAACCAGACAACGCATCCGATCCTTCGCCGACAATGTGTCACGTGACCTTCCGGTTCGGCGCTGCGTCGCGCGGAGCGAGATGTCCCATAACGCTCTCGACTTCTAGCATAGGCTGCGGTCAATCCTTCGGTGAAACGGAGTATAGCCTTGGGTCTTTATGTGCACCACGCAGTAGTGGTTACTAGGGAGCCTTCATGTGCGCACATGAAGGCACCCTAGTGGTTACCATGAACGCACGCTGATGATGGTTCTCCGTACAGCGTGGTGCCAGTTAGCAGTCATGCTGCACTGGCCCTTTTGGCAATATACTGTGACCCTCTGGATGGCTGTCAAACATTATGCTGTCCAAATATAAAGCCATAAATGTTCTGCTTGTTCCGCTCATGCTGCGTATACACGTCTTGTAATTAAGTCACCGACCAACTGTTCGTTGTTTTCTAAATTCAAGAAACAACCTGCGTCCCCGCGACCTTACAGCAGGCGCAACTCTCTGGAAATTTCTCCGATAATCAAGCATTGCCGACGAAGAAATGGCTTGGTTGCTAGCCCATTGAAATGGAAAACGCACAAACGCCGTGACACAGCCACCCATTCAGGATCCCGAAACCTCTCGTCCCCGAGGCCATTGCATCATCTCCTCCCATCTGCCTCTTTTTTGTTGCTTTGTTATTAGACGCGGGATCCCACCCCGCTGCAGTGCAGTGACCGTCACGCCCCTCCTTGACACCAGAAAACCTTCATCAATCGAAGTTTTGCTTTTCTTTCTTTCCTATACTGTTCCAAAAAAATACTTCCTCCTCTTTCCCGTCAAGAGTCAAGAGGTCCAACGAGTCAAAAGGTTCAATAATGGATCTTTTGACTCGTTGGATCTTTTGACTCGCCAGATACGAGTCAAAAGATCCAATGTGGGTCAAAAGGTCCAACGAGTCAAGAGATCCAACGAGTCAAAAGATCCACGGCGAGTCAAGAGGTCCAACGAGTCAAAAGGTCCAACGAGTCAGAAGGTCCAATAATGGATCTTTTGACCCGTTGGATCTTTTGACTCGATGGACCTCTTGACTCGGAATCCAGAGAGGCCTCCTCTCAAAACGTCAATAAACCTTTCCTTGTTTTTGTTTAGTCCATGGATCTTGTAAATATATATATATATCCTTGTTTACTATCCAGAAGGTAAATAGAGCAAAGTCCCCCCTACACCACTGACCACTGACACATAAAGAAGGTACGCAGCATTTTCTTTTTAGTCGTTAGTTCATAGGATCTTAGATTTTAGTTAACACCATTTCGATCAAGAATTTCGTGGAAGGTAGAGGGCTGAAACGTGTCCGTGGTGTATAAAACAAGGATAACGTCACGTTTTTTTTTTTTAATATGGAAATTTTTTGCCTGTAGGATACATGTCGATCACTTAAATTTTTTTATGCCACTTCGAAAAATGCAAAATGTTTCCTTGGTGAGTTTTGGCCATGCGTGTCGTTTTCTTATTTTTGTTTCACGCTAATCGCGTTTTTCTGTGTTGGTGCGCTAAGCAGAAGTTTGCTCTGGTTGTTTTGGACAAACAGAAATATAGTATATTGCGATAACCTCGCTAATCTTAATTTTGAAGTTACACTTAATTGGCCACAGTTTACATTTATGCTTTAATGCTGGATAGGTACATGACTTTGTTTGATTAGTACAGCTACTTGGAACTCAAGATACAGAGTATTTAGCGAAATTGGTTAATAACTTACAACCAAACCAGTGACCAAACGCGAAAGAACTTGATAATTTATTTTTACACATTTCGCACATCTACTAATATCACAATTATCAAAATATGGAGGAAACATAAAAGCAAAATAAAAATAAAACAAAATTATACGCAGAAAATAAACTGAATATTGCTCATTCCCAAAGGAAAATGTATATTTAGAGCATCGTTGATGCTTTCTGCCCTCGCTCTGTATTTTTGTTTTAGTAGCAGAAAATAATAACCCGGTACTTGTGTGATCGATTGAGCGAAATGCTGCACACGGAAAGTAGCAATAAGAAATACTTGTAATTAGAATAACCATTTTCTTAAAGCTTAATTGAAAGTACAGTATCAGCCTATTTTCATGCGAACAAGAAATCAGTGATAGTAATTGTAATAGTCCTAGGAATTCAGGTATTTCCATGTCGGTTTACACTTTCGAAATTACATTTTTTATTAAACGAGCCTTGACATTATTGCATGAATAAGTTGGGGACGTTGCTGGGAAAGTACTTTTTCGACGATTCTTCCTCAGTCTTGCGGAACTCTTCTGTACAGTTTAAAACCTAATATAAAAGTAAAAATACAGTTAGTGGAATAACAATTTTTATTCGCCAACACCAAATAACAAGCATATTGCTGTCCATAAGTATGTCCTAAGACAATCTTCTGTCTGTGAAATTTGGATTGCTTCACCTTATAAGAGGCTCTCCATGTTTTGAAGTAGTATATGCCATGGTTAATATTCCAGTCTTTCAAGCCCCGTTCTTTTCCGAATTAAAAAAAAAAGCTTGAAAGAACTTATTTAAGGGCGTTGATGAATCCTTTATTTTATGACCCCCATCGCTAGGCTGCGCTAAGAGAATTTTGAAGTCGTGTGGAATATAAACACATTTATATATTATTTCAGTCACGCTATACAAAGATGCCGTTCAAGAAAAGCTTCATACTCATTACATACGAAGGTCAATGTTCAAACAAATTATTTATTCTTTTGTCTCAGATTATTCTGCATGTACGGTAAAACACATCGGTAAAGGTTGTCTGCCAAACCGTGTAGCAGTATTTTAAACTACTCCCTTTTGGAAAAAAAAGCCTGAGTGACTCATAAATGCCGGAATCGATAACCCAGTTCGAATCCTATGGAAGGAGGTAGTAATATGCACAGTATTTCGATACCACACTCAAAATCGACTGGATGGGTGAGTTAAGGGCTTCAAATTTTTATGCCATTATATCTAGGGTGTATACTTTCCGGTGTTTATTTATGACAAAAATCGGCGGATGTTTATCCGTGTTATATAATTCTAGAATACCGGTGCTTTGCGGTGAATTCTCTCGTGCAGACGCTAAAGACGGTGATTATCGGGGGGAAAAATTGCGAATGTAAACACTGTTTTGGGCAAAAATCTGTTCAAATTGTATTTACATTTTTTACACAATCTCTTTCACACTTGATTATTGCAGTATATGGTCGCAAACATTCCTAGGATCGTGTCTGTCACTCCTTCCTGTTGACGACGCGCAATTTTGAGAATGCCTGCTCAACATTTGCGCTGGACACGGGAAGCCCCAAAACGTCCAACGTGGCTTGAGACAGTACTGGTCAGCTCTAACTGGCCTCTAGGGCCACTGATGGGGATCTTCAAGGTCGGTGGCTTAGGAGGACCGCTGACCTTGGACAACAGTGGATCAAAGCTACTGACCTCCAAGAGTTCAAGACCACGTAGGTCACAATAGAAAGACAGACAATGTGCATGATTCTGGTTAAGATAATGTGTTTGACAGAATTTTCCGTAGGTCTTTTTTAAGTCAAAAAAAGAAAAAGCAACATTGCTGGGAAAAAAAAATTAGAAACATGTCTTTTGCTTGCAACGATTTTTATTTCCGTCACCGGCGGATGTTTATCGGTGTTTTTCGTTTGTTTTAACCGAACGTTTTCGTTAAAAAAAAAAAAACAGCGCCTGCTCGGAAATATAAAAAACGGTGTTTTTCGGTTTTAACCGATTTTGTATTTTCGACACCGGCGGATGTGTATCGGTGTTTTTCGGTTAAAACTGGAAAATATACAGCCTAATTATATCATATCTTTTTTTAATTCTTGATGAATTTTAAGGGAGTACAAAGCTATATACTTCAGTATTGTATCATGCGCCTCAAGTTCAAGTTCAATAGAGTTATTTTATTACGTCTTTAGAAAACTTATAAAATGTGGTTATATATAGCAGTACTAATTTGTCTCATAAATTGAGGAAAAAACATGGGAAGCTTGTGAGTTCAGTGAAAACTGGTCTGCTTAAAGGAAAACTTGTCTTCAAATGAAAAGCTGGAGGGGGCGCTCTCTTTCTTTTATCGTTTGTATAACCAGTGAAAACTCGTGAACTGAATTTCGGTGGATTGAGGTACCACGGGAGCAAAATGTTACTGTCCCGAGTGAAAGTAACGTGCTAAAGAAAGTTTCGTGGTCTCGGCAGTCAGAACGTGGTAGGTGCCACGCCCTGGAGTCAAGGTGCACTGAATTGATAGAGCAGTATCGTATATTAAAGGCCCTTAGCAAAAAGCAGTACACTAAACCTGTACTAATTTTGCAGATTTACGAAAACAGTTGTACTCCTAAAGGTTATTTAAGCTACAGCCTAGAATTACTACTGGACTGAAGATATATTTTGAGTGTGTGCACCTTTAAGGCCTGTCTGTGTCTGTAGTGTGGAATGAAAACTTATACGCGCGCCCCACACGGCTAAAACAAATGAGGGTTGTTAATGAAAAAACAGTGAGTGCGCAGGCGAGCTGGTGGAAATTGATTATGATGTAGAATACCCGAGACTGTGGTAAAAGCTGGGAAACTTAGTTAAAGAAAAAGACAGGGGAAAATAACGTCTCCGATAGGCTGATGACAAAGAGTGTGGAAGACGATGCACGAAGGACGTGGCATGTGCAGCGATGGACCGCAGAACATAACGACAAAATGAAGGTGACGGGAAAAAGTCGAAACACTCGGGAGTTAGAGGCTCGTGAAAAAGGGGGAGCGAGCGTAAAACGGGCCAGTAACAGCTGAGACGGGCTAAAGGGCGGTCATCAAGTGGCGGAGCAGCGCGCAGGCAGAAGAAGGCGGATACCAAAACCGAGAGACGAGTCTCGTGAACGAGAGGACGGAGCCATTCATCAGCAAGACGCCCCGGAACCTGAGGGGACCGCCGTAGCAAGCTGAGTGTCATAAAACCTTATCTAATGGTAGCGTTGTGTCGCACATGGTTTACTCGGCGGTGAACAGAACTCGGTCTGGTCGGGCAGTGAAGACGAACAGACCAGTAAAGGTAATAATGTTTTAGTATACACATCATTTAAGATACATACTGTAGCTACCATTCCACCAAATCGCCGCACGAAGTTAGGCAATCATCATGATACAACACCAGCTTTTGCATATGGCCCTCTCAAAGAAAGTTACAGCCTGTTTTTCGTAACTCCATCACGTGTTCAACAAGAGTCACTCATTCTTCCCTGGTACCCATCATTACGGACGTTTGTTCGTCCTCCCCGAAACTCCGTGCAGTTTCCTCAATAGTTTATACACATTACACTTCTGCGGCGAGTAAAACTAATCTCCATGAAACCTTAATCTCTAGGAAACGTTAATGGGAAATGTTTACAGTCGTAGCTGTGTACGTACCATTGCATGTTTTGTTGCACCTTTTCTCGACGCGAAACCTGTTGGCATTTCCTCCCCCGCCACCATAGATAAACTTTTCGCATTTAGCACTGCTGGTATTAAAAAACCACATTTTTAGGTATGCTCTTCCTCGTCCTGTATCCAGTTCCAGCGAGCAGGGCGGCTTCGGGGCATCTTGCAGAATAAGGTTGGGCGCATTATTAATAACCCTTCGTTAAACCTTCGAAACCCTATTGCGTTACATTTGTTTCTAGGCTTTTAATTTACTATCGTGACAGTACCTTGAAGCATATAAACATTACAAATGAATATTTTACGACTGTAATTTACACAGCTTGCAAGATTTTCCGAGCCTGAAAAAACAGCCACAAAACAAAGTGAAACAAGATGTTAACGCTCAAAATCAAAATCAAACATACGGGCCCATAATGCAGGGTGTTCAAAATTACGTTTTACACATAAAAAAAGGGACTATCGGAGGTACGGAAAATCCGTTTTTGCACTTAAGTTATCCTCCCAAGTGGAAACTATGTGTAAGGATAGTAGTAGCTGTCAATTTTCTACCTGGCTAAACGTCAATGATAAACTTTTTAGTTACTGTAATTAGCGAATGTTTTTATATCGGAAACTTCAAGGCTGTCGTAAGCTTTCCTTTAAATCTCGTAACCTCTGTCCGTGTTCCCAGATATGCCTCTCCAAATTTGCCACTCAATACGGCTAATAGTAATCACGAATCGGAAATCGCGAAATTAAGCGCAAGCGTTCTTTGGTATGACTTCAGGCCTATGCGCATATCCTTCCTATACATTCTACTCCGCTCATTTGCTTTAGGCCGCGTGCCCACAGCACCAACTCCTCCCCTCTCGACGTGGACAGACGGTGTCCGCGGAAACGCATGGGTATCACGCTGCCCACGATTTCGTGCAGCGCCGAGGGAGAGAGCCGCCGTTGACGCACAGAGGTACTGGATTCGCCGAAAGAGCAGAAACGACTGTTTCCGCTGTCTCAAAGGCTGTCACGACAATAGATGGCGGCAGCCACCCTTCTGAATTCAAAACGGGTAAATCCCGAGGCTACGCGCATCCAGCCGTTCTTGCTACGCAAAAGCTGTCGGCCCCAAGATAATTTAATTTTCTCATAGTGAAATGCATTTTCTAGTAAAACATTTTTCATTTTTGATTAAAGAACTCACTTGGGCCACTAATAACTTCTTGGTGTCGAAGCTATTCTATGCGCCATTTCGTGGCACTAGCGCTTTACCACGGCGCCTGATTTCAATTTGTGGGGACGTTACACGAGGATCACTGCTGCCTCCTTGTCTCAGTGGTGTTGACTATAACCACTGATGACGCTTTTATCCGTGATTGAGGCAGAAAATTTCTTCAGAACTTTCAAGATATTTGAGTGAAGTTTGTTTCGAATTTTTTTATTTGTACATCATTCTTCCATATTACCAGGCAGAGCGTTGCCGTGCTTTCGAGCATAAAATTATAAAACTATGTGCCCTCTATGAACATGGGAACAGCTATTCTGGATCAAAATATTGCATGTGCAAGTTCTTGAGATAAATATGAGATAAACAAAACAAAAGAAAAACAGTTTAGATAAAAAATGTTTTTTTTTTTTTAGTGGATTACGGTATTACTTTGTGTGTGGAATCAGTTGCGGGTGAGTTTCTTCAGATTTAGAAGGCTTCAGATTTAGAAGGATGTACGACTCTTATCTTGATATCGTTACTGGAACCCTGCTCATATTTAGCCGCAGTAGATCAAACACATTAAAGAAACACAATAAGAAAACTAGCAAGTAGACAGTTCAAGACAAATTTCCAATGTGAAGCAAAGCAAGACTTTTTTCTTCGCTCAGACTTACCTTTGCAAAACATAGTGCACGTTTGGATGTCGTGAAAGTGATTTTCACCTCCTTCACAATCTGTTCCTTCTTGGACTTCACATTTTCCCGTTTCTCGATTGTATTCGGCGTGATCTCCTCCAACTTCACATTCTACCTCATCAGGATCTAGGCAGGATGTCCAGGGTTCATTCTCATATACTATTATTTCTCCAAGCCCTATTGAACGGTAAAAGAAACAATGCATTTCTCGGCTGTTATTGTGTTGACTTTTGTTCTGTAGAACATGAAATTTTTATATGCTGCTGGAAGAGTGTACCAACTTTTCATTATCTAATTACACACAAACACATAATTTTTATATGTATAATGTATATATAGATATAGATATACAGTTTTTTTTAGACTTACAAATTTTTTTTTAATAAAGCCCTGAAAGCTATATTGATGCGGTTTGTGCAAGTAATTTATACTGCCAGAGGGACATAGTACAGGGGGCTAATCGTAACGATCAGTCGGCTAATTAAGTAAAATGTGTTAATTAACTTTATCATTTGAAAAAATAGACATATGGTTTCAATTAAAAAACTTGGTGAGCGTCATTGAAAACCTCTAAATCACCTCTTTTTAGGAGGATCTAACGCAGGGGCAGCGTTTTACGACGTTTCGTAAAAACGCTCTATTTGGACGCGTTTCAAGGTTTCAGTTTCTTATCAGAGCGCATCTCTGCACCCGTGGTCCTGCTCCCCAGTGACTGAGGCGCGCAACACGCGTGCAACACACGTGCGCCCTACTTTCCACCATCCTGCGAGGTGGTGGTTTCGCGCTGTGACCACCGGGGAGCAGGACCGCGGTCCTGCTCCCCGGTGGTCACACCGCGAAACCGAATCCTAGACACGCGTCCGAATTGAGCGTTTTTTCAGAACGCCGTGAATTGCTTCCCCTCTTTTACATCTTCCTGAAACGAGTGTATTCAATGGTTTTCGATGTGGCTTAGCAAGTTTTTGATTGGAATTATATGACTATTTTCACTAATTAAAAGTTAATTAACAAACCTTACTTAATTAGCCAAGTGATCGTTACGATTAGCCCCCTATAGGATGTAGACCTGGCCGTATAACTCACCTGCACAAACCTCTTAAGTGTAGCTTTCGCGGCTTTTTTTAAACAAATATCTGAATCTCAACAAAAAATACCCTATATCTTTACCGGGTGTCCCATTTTACTTCGAACAGATTTATTACAAAACATTCGTAACATATGCACTCATACGGTCTGTGCAGGTGAGTTATACGACCTGGGGGCGACATTATGTGGGTGGCTAATCTTTGCGATAAGTCGGGTAATGAACTAAACTTTCTTAATTAACTGTAAGTTAGTAAAAAATAATTATATGGCTTCAATGTGAAACATGCTGCGTGTTATCGAAAATCACTTTATCATAGAAATATTTTTACTAATTAAAAATGAATTAGGCAAATTTAGTTAATTATCCGACTTATCCCAAGGATTAGCCACCTGTATGTCCTTCCGGCCGTATAACTCACCTGAACTAAAATGGAACACCCGGCGTATAAGGGTGGCGATGTCGGTCGGTTGGTTCATCCTTCCGCCGGCCCAAACAATAGTTTGGGCCGGCGGAAGCGTTCCATGACTGATCAGGAATCAGCAACGTTACTAAAACACTCAGTGGCAAAACTCCCATAGAGACAGCTTTGAAAAAGTGGCCCCAATCTGTCTCCGAGCACCGAGCTAATCACGAACACAACGCCACCATTTCTCCCACAGCGGCCACTCGAGGAACTGCACGTGACTTCTATTTTGGCTTTAAGAACAGCGGAAGAGGTTACAGGGGTGCCACCCCCGTCTCCCCGGCGGACGCGCCGCGTAGAACTACCGAAGTTAAAATGCACCTAGGTCGGGACGCGCTACCTGAAAGCCCCGCTGAGGCATGGTTGTATAAAAATAATATTAATTGTTACGCAAAACCCTGCAAACTAAAGATTTTAAAAACATAACGCGCCCCTCTTTTTGTACTAAACTCCAATAAATTTCATACAAAAAGAGTCTCTTCCGTTTGTTTTTACGCAAAAACAGGCTTTCAAAAAGCTCAAGGTGACCACAGTACCGACAAACGATAAAGAGTGGCGCTGTTGTTGCATTTAGCTCGGTCTCGGTGGACGCCAGCGGCCCAGGTTTTGACGGCGAGTTTCCCAACTGAGTGTTTTAGTAACGTTGGGAAGCAGCAACTACCGCTGGCGACGGATAGTCCTATAGCTTTCAAGTTTTGAGCAGCGCCCCTCGCGAGCAAGATCGAATATTTTCAGGTAGCGCTTGGCTTGCGCTTTTTTACGCTTCCTCACGTTGTTGAAATAAATGATGCAATGAAAGAAATAAAAAAGAGGTGCAAGAAATCGTCAACAAAACAGCTGAAAGGAATGCATTCTTGGCGTGTGGGTGGGACGCTATCCGCCGAGAGACTGAAGGATGGGGGAAGACGAGAGCACTCGAGGATGTCATAACGCCGAGCCCTGACTGGAATCATTAGGGGGTATAGATGTGAAGCTAGCTGCCTTGATCTTTATACTCACTCTTGGAACGCGTTCAAACGCGAACGCGGGTCGCTAGACGCCGGTGTTAGGCAATTTACCGCGTTCGAAGTGTGAGCAGGGACAAAGGCGGCTAGCTTTATGTCTACCCACTAATCATTCCAATCGGGGCTCGGCGTTCTCACGTCCCCGCACGCTCTCGTTTTCCTCCTCCTTCTCAATTTCTCGTCGCGTAGGCCACGAGCTGTACATTTTTTTTTTGTTGGTTTTGTTTTCTTTTAAGGCTTTGTCATACTCCGCCTTTGAGCACAGCGAATGCAGGGTAACGCAAAACAGGCGCATTTTATTGGTCGGCGAGCAGGAACTCGATGTCTGCGCCCAATCAGTATCTCTGTGCGCTGCGGTACGCCGCGTTTGTACGCTCGACGTCGGAGTATAGCCCTCCTGCGTTGCCCAAGGAGGGTTGCGAAAAGAGACTTGTGGGCATATTGAAAGGTTTCTGAACGCAAGTATGGACAAACGACAAACACGAAGAAACACGACAGACACGGACCGCGTTGGGCTCGCAGCAACTTTCCACCACTTCGGCGTGGTATTCCCAACTCGCCTTCCCAAGGGCTACACCAAAGTGGTGGAAGGAAAGTTGGGAGTCGAACGCCATCCGTGTCTGTCGTGTTCCTCCTTGTTTGTCCTTCAGCCATACTTGCGTTAAAAAACCTTTCAATATCTTCAACCAACACGCTCTCCTATTACTTTCGATGTTTACTTCTTAGCACTTGTTTTGGGTAGTAGAAAGTTTAGCGTCTCAAAGTGTCACGCATGTAGAAGCGTGCCTGCTCTGTTACTGAACGCGAGCTCACGAATAAAATACAAAGAAACATGAAAAATTCGAACGCCCTCGAAGCAAAGGTTAAAGCATAGCCTCCTCTATGCTCACAAAGCCTGGCAGTTCGGCGACAGAGCCATAGAATGCCCTGTCGCAGATTTGGTGCGCGAGGATCTGGTAGCACGGAGCATCAAAGAGCCATTGCTGGGGGAACCTGGACATCAGCGCACAGTTTTTGCAGCGGCGAGGACCCGAAACACACTTGTTCGCTTGGGAGAAGTGTGTTTCGGCGTCTCGCCGCAGCGGGGCGCCAGTCACGTGGCTCTCCTATCATTCGCTGTCTGCCGCTCCCCCTTTTCCATTTCGGTGGCCGCTTCTCGTGGTGATCTGCCAGGCTTTGTCAGTACATAAGAAGCTATGTTTAAAGCTATGGTGCCTGGAGCGCGTCTTCGACTGGTGTTTTTAGCGTCCCGGGCTGCCCATACATCGAAATTGGTCCCGAAGTGGCAACGAATGACGTCACAGAAGCCGGAGTGTCATGCTGTTGCATGTTGCGATCCTGGCGGTTGGTCGTATAAATGGTAACGAGAAGTTGCAAGTAGCACGAGCGAACGCGTGTGTCCCTGTCTTCACAGCGTCCCAACTTCTGGCAGCCGAGGCTTCCGTGAATTGCCACACTGGAGAGCGACCTACAGTAGAACAAGAGTCTGCCACGAACATTACAGCTTTTGGGACACCTCCAGATTGCGACTGGCGACAGCGTGACACTTCTATGACGTCATCGGCTGGAAATCGGCGGACCACTTCTTTGGACGCCGTAAACACACAAGTCGGCGACGCGTTCCAGGCACCATAGTTTAAGCTAAGGTGCTAACAGCGTGAGCCAGGATACACCGTTTCACGCGTACCAATGTAAAAATAATAAAAAAAAAAACGTTGGGACGCCAGATGTTTTGATGTCACCATGGATAAGAGTCGCGTACCCCAGTGGTGGTGGCGTGAATCTGGCGCTTTGGATTGTCTTGTGGCGTTAAATCTAGTGCGAGGCCCAATCAGGTGAGCTTGTACTACCCAAAATGAGGGCGCCACAGTTTGTTCAAAGCTTCAGCGTAGGTCACAGACTTGAACGTAGTTGAACTACTCTACTCAAACTACTGTAGTTTAACTACTTTTCCGAGTAACTTGGTAACTTTCAATTACAACTCTATTTGAGTAATTAGTAGTTTAATTTAACTACGTTTTTCAGGTAACTTCTACTCAAATTACTAACTACTTTCGAAATTTAATCCTATTTTTTTTCATCACAAAAGTTTGAGTGCAGAAATAAATAACACGCTGGCAGATTAAGTGGTATTCACGAACAAGGGGCCCCCTCACATTCCGTTCCCACGCACTTACACTCGGCAACCCTATAAACTTCATCACATGCGTCCTTGGGCCAAGGTGGCGACGACGAGCAGCCAAAACATAACACCGGCGCGAACGAACGCAGTCAGAGATGCTTGACAAGCCTTGGTCGGGTGTTGACCTAATCCGGTAATGCACGCAAGCGCCGCGTTTCCAGCTGCAAACGTGAAAGACGGGGACACACCGAGGGTTGTTGTTGTTTTCATGGTGTGCCTTAGTGAGTTCTGACTCAAGTTGTAGGTTCCACGGTAGGCGCCACTGGGATGACCTCGCAGCTGGGCGCCTGTTCTCATGGTCGCCTCGTCGTCAGTGCATACTCCCTTGCAAAGCGGACTCCCCCGCGCATCAACGCAGACACGGATAATCCGTTCATGGGAGCACGTTGCCGCTTCCAGCTTGCAACTGTACGAGCGCCGATGCTTGTTCAGGTAATCCTTCGCGTCCTTCCGACCTTCCACGCCAGGGAGACCTCCTCTTTGTTGAAAACGTTTTACTTGTCAGACGCGTCAGGATACCGTAGTCGCCGGCGAGGATTTCGAGTCACCCTTGGGAGATCCTTTTGTTGGAACTTGGACCCAACGTCAACGGCAAAAAACGTTTTTTTTTTATGTGGCGTAGCTATAACATTGCAACGAGACGCGCAGTCGTCCAGATGATCTCATCGTCCTGGCGCGAGACTTGATTCCTTGACGGTGAGGTGCACTCGCTTGGCGAAATCTCCGAACGTCGTGAGAATAAAGAGGGGCCAGTCATAACAACCTCAACTTTCCGAAGAAAAAAAGAAAAGAAAAGAGGAGAGCTCGTTATAAAAGACCCTCTAGCCGAGGCAAGCCTCGCATGTTTCGTCATGGACACCAAAGATACCGACACTCGCTTACCCGACCCTGCACAGCCTGCTTCTGAAATTGAACGCTGTCTTTGCATCTAGCGCCACTGTGCAACGTCTTTTTAGCTTGACCGAGGACGTTATTAGGAGGAAAAGAGGAAAACTCTCCGATAACAACTTTGAAAGACAATTGCTTCGGCGAGCGATTAAACTACTTTGGAAGTCATAAAATGACTGCATTTATTTCCGGCTCGCAGGGTTTTTCACTGATCAAAACTTCTGTTCATTTTGCTGCCACAAAAACATAAAAAGTAACTTCGGAAGTAACTTCAAAATAATTCGCTACTTTTTTACAGTAATTAGTAGTTTACTCAATTACTATTACAAATGCGTAATTTCTACTCTACTTCAACTACTTTTGGCGTCGATACTCAGGAACTTAACTTAACTACCAATGCATTCGAATGCGAGAGCCAAACGCAGGACGCCGGCGTTCCGCATTCTAACGCGTTCGACGTGCGCAGTGGAGACAAAGGATGCTAGCTTTAAATGCACCCACTAATCATTCCAGTCACAAGTCGGCATTCTGACGTCCCCGTGCGCTCTCGTTTCTTCCTCTCGCTCACTTTCTCGGCACATAAAGCCTTTACGCGCATGAACAGACACTGACAGACGCTAGCATTTGAACTTGGCTCGTGCATAATTGAACGCTACAACGTAGCCTTTATGGTGGCGTCTTGCAGACGCCGAAGCCAACATTACAAGTTCGCGTCTTGTGAACACGCTGGCGACCCCTAGCCGAGTGAAACAAATCTATATAAGTATCCCAACCATAGTTAAACAACAAGCAGCTCAAGAAGGCGCGACGCGTAATGTTCAGAACCATCCTTCACTCAGATCTAGTGTACCTGGTGTCCATAAAAGAATAAGAAAAAAAAAAGTTTTCTGCCAAGAAGAAAAAGAAACAAAAAAAAAGGAATCGCCGGACGCATATTTTCTTCCCATTTTGGAGCTAGCAGACCTGACCGGATGACAAAGTTTCAAAGCTTGGCGTTGTTTGATTCAAAAGTTACAAGCACAAGCGTTTTCGAACATTTTTGGCGTGGAAATAGGGTCTATTCACTGCGTCATTCGTCTTCACGTATTTGAGGGCTTCGCCTGCTGCCATTTGACTTCATTTCTTTTAATGCAGTGTACTTTATGAACCAGATAATGTCAAATTCTCAAACTTCGAAGTCTAGTTCCCATCTCTAGCGCTATAGTTGGGCGGGGACGGAGCGTTCGGCGGTCAGACTCCTGGTTTGTTCAGAGGGCGCAGCGAAGAGGGACTTGTTAGGACTTGTTTTGGGTAGTAGAAACTTGAGCGCCTCAAACTGTCACCCTGTAGAAGCGTGCCTGCTCTGGTGCGGAGCGCGATCACGAGAAAAAAAAACAAAAAACGAAGAAGCCAGCAGCCTAAATGTAGCATTTCACCTAACTGTGCTATACTACACAAGTTCATAAGACCAGTCATAATAATCACCGTGACACGCGTGTTTTGATTAAAATATAGACCCAATTATGATCATTTATAAAAGTGGATTTAATTCACGCGCAGTGCACCAATAAGATTTGAAAGTTCTGTTTAAAAAATTAAGTAAATATATTGTAGTACCGGCAATTCAAATAAGCTATTCAGCAAATAAAAAAAAAAAGTTCCGAAAATTTTTTTTATCAAATATTAACTCAGTCTTTCCAACTTGATAATACATACCTCACAGAAATGCGGCTACATCTGCACGTAACTAGTCTTAAATAAACACTCGGCGTCTGGGTTTTGTTTTCCCCGCGAAGAATGCGTTTCGGATATATTGAGCTATATCATACTGCACTCACATTAATTTTCTATGAAACCAAGGTTGAGGAATAGTTTGCACACGTCTAGAGGTAACTTACCTATGACCATCCAGAAAGCTCCAATATAAAAGAAGCAGAGAACCACTCGCATTTTAGTGTCGTAGAATGCTTGCCCTAGCAGATGTGGAGTTTGCGAGACTGATAAACGGCTTATATATAACAAAAATAAGCCGTAACAGAAGAAATACGCCTTCTAACTTTTAAGAATTTTTTTTTTTTTTTTGTATAAAGATCAGCCCGGATATTCTTAATGTCGCGGACCTCCTGAGCGCAATTGTTCCTTCACTACAAAAATAAAAAATAAATATTCCTATGAAATAAAAAAGAATGTCATGCGAAATTTATAGTTCACGTAAATGCTTGCGACGTAGTGTAGGAATGTACAGACTACATTCCTACATTACGTCGCAAGCATTTACGTGAACTATATATTTCGCGTGACAATCTTTTTTACTTCATAGGGTTATTTATCTTTTTATTTTTTTTCTCGGCTTAAACGTAGCTGATTTTCGCTTTAAAATAAATTATCTCGCTTACGCATAACGGAAACCCTGAAACCTCACTCGGGTTAGGGTGCTTCAAAGCAGAAGGACATTAAATTGTATAATAGGCATGCATGGACTGTTCTTTAATATGTACCTTTTTATTTTTATTCTTTTGCGTAAAAGGCATTAATTTGCAACTTAAGTTTTGGCTAGTAATTGTACAAAGAAAAATGTAAATTTTCGGAACTTCGATGCGACGTGGAATAAAATTATATTTATCTGTGATCGTTAGAACATTTTGCAGGGTTAGTGTGCGAAGCCCTATTTCGCTACAGTCGTTATTATTTTTTCCCGCTTATATTGAAAGCAAATGTTTTTCAGATGTAGCTTCGCTATTCGTAATCACGCAATAGCCGAGGACACGAGCTCGGAGGAGAGATAAAAAAAAATTAAAAAGAGAAGCCGCGCGCGTGTGGTTGTTGGAACGCGGAGCTAGGCTTCTGTGGGGTTTTTGGTGGAACGCGAAGCAAGACTTCGGCGGTGTGGGTGTTCGAACCCCGAGCAAGGCGTCGTCGGGATGGTTGGTGGACCCCGAGCAAGTCTTCGACGATGTACGTCTGCTTGTGAGTTAGCGCTGTTCGGCACTGGAAGCACCCAAACCCCACCAACTTCTTTTTGGCCCCGACTGGCGGCGCAAGGGACCGGACCACCTTGGGACCCTGATTGGATATTTCTCCTCCTCCAAACTTTATGGCGTCTTTGATTTGGCTTGTCCCTTTTGTTACGCTTTCAAATCTGTTGCCTTTGTTTTGTGTGTCTGTTGCGGCTACGAAGAGCGTAACGCACGCGAAGCATGTTCTATTATTTTTAGAGCGCAGCTCTTAGGGGCCCGTTTCCAGCCTGAGCGGCGTCGGCGTCGGCGTAACCGGGGGGGGGGGGGGTCACGTGACCCCCCGAGGTCACGGGACCCCCCCCCCCCCCCCCCCGAGATCACGTGATCCCCCGAGGTCACGTGACCCCCCTCCCCCGAGATCACGTGACCCCCCCGGGGTCACGTGACTACCCGCAGGTGACGTGACCCACCTCAGTACCCTTCCCCACTCCTCCTCAAGAGCTGCGCTCCAATTCGGCATTACAGGGATTTGTAAACGGCTTTCATTTTTTTTTCCGACTATGTGTGCGCCCTGTGCAACCTGTTTTTTTTACTTCCGTTGGTATTAAATGGCGTCCGTAACGCCGGGCACGACTCGCTCTCAATTCCTACCGCCTCTTAGGAAGTTCATCGCCAGGGTGTGGCCTTAGCACCTGGACAGTGGTCCAAATTCAAATTATAAGCGTGTTTGTTTATTGGATCTCTTTTCCCCGAACCTGTGTGAAAATGGCGTCCGCGACAGGACCTGCTGTCCACTGTGGTGATTTGTTTTGAAAAGAGCAGGCCTAGCGAGTGAGTTTGCCACGCTGAAGGGAGCGCGTTGTCAGGCTGACCCCGTTGCGAGAGCACACAATCCGGCTTGCCTATCGGGAGTGGAGGAGGAGGTCAGGGTCAGAGTATTCAGCAAAGTGTTCGCGCGACTTCAGTCATGAAGCTCCAGGAGGTAATTGCCCGCGGGAAAGAACTCGGTCTCAAAGGTTCGGCTTTGAAGGAATGGGTGGACCAGGAGCAAGAGAGGAGCATTGAAGCAGAGCAGAAGGAGAGAGCCGCGAGAGCGCAGGAGCAAGAGAGGAGTATCGAAGCAGAGCACCGGAGCCTAGAGCTGAAGATCAGGCTGCAGGAATTACAAAACGCGGCGCCGATCCCTGTAAACGCGTGTCCCTCCGATAACGGGACCGGGACAACGCTATGGAAAGGTCCTCAGCGTTGGCTGCCCCCATTCGACGTGAAGAAAGACGACCACAACGCCTACCTGATGCGCTTTGAGAGGCTAGCGAGCGGACAGATGTGGCCCCCTGAACATCCGGCCACGGCGCTTAACATATGCTTGGCTTGGGAGGCCCTTGGGGTCTTTTCTAGGCTGACCCCGGATGAGTCTGTCAAATATGACAACGTCAAGAAAGCGCTCCTGTAGAGGTTTTGGTCAACCGAGGATGGCTTCCGAGACAAGTTTAGAGGGGCTAAGTTGGAAAAAGGGGAAAATCGGTGCGCAATATGCGGCGAGGTTGTCCAGCCTTTTCGTCCGTTAGGTCAACCTGTTCGGGACGGCAAAGGAGTTTGCTGCATTACAGACTTTGCTGCTTAGTGAGCAGTTCACTCGGAGTGTTCCGTCAAAAATGTCGCTTTCTTTAAGAGAACGGAAGATCGAAAAGCTAGGACGAAATGGCCGACCTCACAGACCGCTATCTGGAGGCCCGAGAGCTGGAGCCTTTCAGGAGAGAAGAGGCTGCAGCAGACGTTACGCCAAGTGGATCTCGACCGACATCGAACTGTCACCAGTACAAAAACAGTAAAACTCCAAGGAAATGTTTTCTGTGTGGCAGAAGCAGAAACCAGCGGTACAGTGTAAAAACGGTCAGAAACCGAGCAGCCAAGCTTGGGGCCTGCCGAAACTGCGGAAAGTTGGGTCACACTTTTCGTCAATGTTGGAACCGGGACGGAGGACCAAAGGTTTCCTGTGTTCTCATGTACGGAGGAGCTGGACGCAGCATCCGGTCGTGTGAAAGATGGCTATGTCGAACTAAGAGACGGCACTAAGGTTCCAGTGGTAAACGCAGTGTCCGGGATTTCTCTTCCTATGGGGAGATGCCTGTAGCTGCCGGAAAACTACACGGGCAAGTTGTCACGGTGTTTAGTGACACATGCTGCAACACTGCCGTAGTGCGCCGAAGCCTCGTACCAGACGACAACCTGACCGGAACGACGAGCCTCGTGTACTTTGTGGACGGGACGGCGAGGGTCTTGCGTGAGGCCAGGTGTATGTTGAGACCTCCCCCTCTACAGTGGGAATGTCGTGGCTAAGTGAATGAAGAACACTTTATATGATCTGATTCTGCGCAACCTCCCTAACGTGCGCGCTCCCGGTGATCCGAAGGCCGGCTGGAATAGACCGTCGAAATCCGAAGACGGCTCACCGCACGGTGAGATAGCAAGATATGGGGACTCTTGCCACCGCAACCACGTAGCCAAGGTCCAAGAAACAGGCGGCAAAGAAGGGCGCCACTCCGCTGAGAGTGCTCGAAGTTGCCTGAGAAGCCCGAAGAACGCGCGGCAATACAAAAAGAAGACTACAGTCTAAAGGGGCTCTTCGACCGTGTCGGAAAGACGTCCAGCCGCAGAAACTCAGAGGTTCCACTGAAGAGTGAACCAGACGTGAAGGTCAGAAGAACCAGAGGCCGAATTCTCAAGAAACATCTTACGAAATCTTAGCCAAGAAGTTCGTAACTTAAGAAGTTCGTAAGATCAGCCGGAATCGGTATGCTCGAAAGGCTTCTTAGCTGCGAACCAGGGAACGACAGAAGAAGTGAGAGAAAAAGAAGCTTCCGGTGTCTTGTAACCGACGAGAACAAGCGAGAGGGGGATGTTGCTATGACGATTTTGACCACAATGCTACGTTTGGTTTGATAGTACGGCGTGTAGTTGAGATCTCATGGCGTCTCCACCACCTGTCAAAAAGAGCCGAAAGGCCAATTTTTCGGGCAACGAGCTATCAGCTCTAGTAGACGGGTACGAGCAGCGCAAAGTGGCGATTGAGGGAAAAGGGAACAGCGCGGATGGCTCGATTGCCAAGCAGCGGGCCTGGGAACAAATTACTCGCGATGTGTTCACGGTTTCCGGCATTCGAAGGGAAGTGGCCGACATAAAAAAGAAATGTGCCGATGTCAAGAGCATCAACAAGAAGCGAGGTAAGTCAATCCTCAAGTTTTGGAGTTCGCGAACTTAAATGATACGATATGCTTTGTACTAATTAATGTAAAAGGCAAAATGTTCGGCACTAGCGCGGAGTCAACGCACGAGCACATTTTACTCCTTCCAATTAGTGCTTTTAATAATGTTGTTGACATTAGACGCGCTAGCGGAGATGACTTAGCTAAATGCGGTCTTTTGCGAACATTTATTTTATGGTGTCATACTCAGCGGAAGGTACCCGGCTTCAAAAGCCTTTGCTAGGCAATGAAAACCGGTGACCGAGCAGTCGCGCTTACAGCAGCCTGCTTTGTCTGCTGCGTTATTTAATACTGACACAATACGCAGGTGCAGCCGTGAAAAAAAAGTCGGTGTGCCCCTAGAGGCGGCGTAGGCGACGAACCCCTCAAAGAGATGGAGGAGAGAATCGTGGGGCTGCTTACGTGGAGTCGGTGGAGGGCATCCCAGGCGCCCTTGACATTGGCGTTGCCCCGATTCAACAGGTGTTTGTGGGTGTGCCCTTCTCCCTGCCACTCTCGGGTAGGTTTTCACAAGCCTGGGTTAGACACTACCTTTCTTTATTAATGGTTTGCCTAGAATTATGTTGTCAAAACATTATTTGCAGCCTAGCATGTGCGTGTCATGTTTGTTGCTTTTCTTGGTCAAACTAATCTTTAAATACAAATTTCCAAGGTACTCCCGCCAGGCTGAGCTCAGCAAGGCCAGTTCCCTCAGTTTGTGAGTTAGCAAGGGTTCTACTTCATTGCA